CACCTTCTCAAAGAGGGCCTTTCCATTACTTATTTATTTTTGTCTTTATAAAACAGGGTCTCATTATGCAGTTCAGGCTGGTCTTGAGCTCACTTTGTAGCCCAGGCTGGCCCCAAACTCACAATGATCCTCCTGCCTCAGCCTCCTGAGTGCTGGGATTACAGGCTGGCACTCTCAGTTATTTAAAACTAACTCCTCTCCAGACCCTCCAGCCCTCCTAATCCCCCAGGCTAGATTTATTTTTCTCTGTAGCACTTGCTTTGGACCTGCTTCAAATGCGTGTGTGCGAGCATGTGTGTGTGTGTGCGCGCGCGCGCGAGTGCATGCATGTGCATGGAGGTGGGGATGGAACCCAGGGCCTCACACATGCTCAGCACGTGCTCCACTACTGAGCCCATTTGCAGTCCTTTCTTACTTTGAGACAGGGTCTTGCTAAATTGCCCAGGCTGGACTTGAACTTTCAATCCTCCTGCCTTGGCCTCCTGAGAAGATGGGATTTCAAGCATGCATCACTGCCCTGTCGACGCTTCCTATTTCACTTTCTTTCTTCCTCCTTCCACTAGCACAGATCACTGATGGCAGATTTTTTTGTTTTGTTTTGTTTTTTGGTACCAGGAATCAAACTCAGGACCTTGCACTTTCCAGGCAGGCACTTATGCCACTGAGCTATCTCCCCGGCCCTCGAAGACAGATGTTTTTGCCTGCATGCCTCCCTGCCATATCCCAAAGCCTGGCATAGTGCTAAATAAACGTTATACAACCCTGTGATGATAGAGGTGGTGACCCATACCTGTAATCCCAGCTACTCAGGAGGCTGGGGCAGGAGGATAGCAAGTTTGAGCCCAGCCTGGGCAATTTAGTGAGACTTTGTCTCAAAATAAAATTTAAAAAGGGCAAAGAGTATAGCTCAACACACCCTTGGGTTTAATCTCTAGTACTACAAATGAAACACCCTCCCCATCGAGTGCCTGAGATGAGGGGCACTAGCATGTTAATTTGGGTGTAAGCAGGTGGTCTGGTTCGGGTCCTCAACCTGGGGCCCATTCCCCTATGACCATGCAGCCAGCACTTGGGCCCAAATGATAGTTTGGGGTGGGGGGCTCACAGCACGTGTGCCATCTCCTCGTGCAGGTCCTGCAGGGACTGCAGCAAGCTGGGCAGCATGAGCTGGTGGTGGTGCTGGTGGTGCAGCTGTGCAGCCCGCACGCCCAGCACATAGCGGTTGTGGTGGGCAAAGAGCTTCCACAGGCTGCGCACGTACTTGTCCTTGGCCTTGTCCCGGTCCTTGTCTGCCGGCGGGGAGGGGCGGGAGGAGCATGAGTGTCAGCACTGTGGACGGGCAGCAGTGGTTTGAGGTTCCCCTCCCTGCTGGCGAGGGAAGCCACAGACCTTTGCTGGCCTCCTGGTACTTGCGTCTGGCTTGGGTGCTGTCCCGGGCCAGGGCTCGGTACTGGCTCTTCAACTTCTCAATGTCCTGGCTGTGGGTCTGTGGGGACAGAGGTGGCCAGTGTTAGGAGGCAGGTCCCCAAGCATGGGTGCTCCCTCAGTCCTCCCGGAAGGGCCTGGAAACTTCAGAAAGCCATGATATGTAGCTCAGTGTGACAGCCCATGGCCATAATGCCAGCACTCTAGGAAGCAGAGGCAGGAAGATCACAAGTTTAAGCCCAGCCTGGGCAACTTAGTGACTTAGTCTCAAAATAAACAAAAAAGTGGCTGGGATTGAGCTTGGAGCAAAGGCTCTGGCAGAGTTACAGGCAGGCAGCTGGGGGACGCAGAGAGACGGTCAGGGCAGGTGGGGCAGCTTCAGGTGTGGCCTTAGGCTACTCAGGGCTCTAACAAAGGATCCTATGTTTGTTTTGCATGCTCCCTTGTCACCATGGTGAAACTGCTTTCTTAACATGGGGGCCTCACATTTTCCTTCTGCACTCGGTCCTGTCCCGGAGTCAGGCAAATCATGTTCCTGGCAACAGGAACGAGAGACGGCAGCCTGAGACCAGCATTGCCATTCCCGTTCTGTTTAGGTTCAGGGACACACTGACGAGCTCCATCCCCCTCCTCTGAACCTCAGTTTCCCCATCTGTAGCTGAGTTAACGGCATAGACTAGACCAGTCTTTTTTTTTTTGGTTTTTCTCCGGTACCGGGAACCGAACTCACGACCTTGCGCTTGCCAGGCAGGCGCTTTGCCGCTGAGCTAAATCCCCAGCCCCGACTAGACCAGTCTTAACCAATCTTTCTTTCTTTTTTTCTTTTTAGGTACTAGGGATTGAACCCAGGGCCACAACCCCAGCCCTTTTTATTTTCAGTCTTGCTAAGTTGCCCAGGCAGGATTTAAACTTGTGATCCTCCTGCCTCAGCTTCCCAGAGTGCTGGGATCACAGGCGTGTGCCACTAGGCCTGACTCCAATCTCCTTAAAGGACCAAATAGTAGATATTTTAGGCCTGTGGGCCACAAAGACACTGTTGCAATTACTCACTTCTTCCCTTATAGCTCTACAGTAGCCACAGTCCACACGAAAGCCAGCAGGCATGATTATGTTTGCCTCGAACTTTACAGAAGCAGGCAAACCCCTGAATTAGATGATCTTTGGGAAGAGGCGCAGAGGCCAGGCTGGCCACCAGGGGCCGCTGTGGGTACATGGCCAGGCCAACTAGCTCTGGTGGAAGCAAGGTGGTGCCAGGCAGCTGAGGGACTGGAACACCCAGAGAAGTAATTGTAGCTCTAAATCACACTGCCTGCAACTGTGGGCCTGGGGGATTCAGACCCGCGCTACTGTTTGCAGGACCCCAGAGTCTGGCAGTGTCACCACCGCAGCTCCTCCTGGGCAGCTGGGCCTCACCCATCCTTTCTCTCCCAGCGCCTGCCAGGCCCAGACAATGCTGGGACAGGGCGGCTGCAGGCCACCCCCAAGTGGTGGGTGCAGAGGGAGGAACTGGCCGGGGAGCCGTCCATCCCATCCGTCCTGGGGCTTGGCCTGTGGTCAGGAACTTGCACTTCCCCAGTGAATGCTGGGGCTCTTGTGCAAAGCCACCCCTCCAAGGCCGCGCTGATGACAGAGACCACTGAGGCCCCGGCGCTGATACCCACCTTGGTGAGCTCCTGCTGCAGTTGCTGCCACTGCTCGCTGTAGGTCTTACGCAGCTGCTGCCGCTCCCGGATCAGCAGGCTCAGCTTGCTCAGCGGCCCTGAGTTCAGGTCTTCCGCGTGCTGCCGCAGCACTCGGCTCAGTCCCTCGGTCTGGCTGGTGATCTCAGCCCAGGACTGTGGAGCGGGTAAGGCGGGGAGAAGGGACAGCGGCTCCTGAGCCTGCTGGATCTCCAGTCTCACCCCCAAGAGGCTCAGAAAGGGGGCGGGCAGGCACAGTCAGTACTAGAGGAGCGTACCTGGCTGATGGGGCTATCCAGGCCGCTGTTCCGGCTCTGGCCCCCGGCGTCCTGCAGGGACATGTGGTGGAGCAGCCCCGCATATTCCCGGTCGCTCTTGACCCGCTGGGCCATCCATTTCCTCATGCCCTCCAGCAAGCGAAGCTCAGCTTCCTGCATCTGCTGCACTGCCCCGTGGCCCTGGGGGCTGCACAGCTCCGAGGAGAAGCCCATGCTGGCGTTCTGGGGACAGTAAAGAGGCCGTCACTGGGGTGAGGCAGCTTCAGCGGCTGGAGATGAAGGGGCATAACAAAGGGGGCTGTGGGCTGTGGGCTGTGGGGAGGAGCTGGGGACTGCAGGAGGTGGGTGGGGTCCTGCCCAGCAAAACAACCTGGCTTGGGGCTGGCCCTCACGGCTTCCTGGACCCTAGGCCAAGGCCCAGCCAGAAGTGCACTTTTCAGTCCTAGAGAAGGAACGGCCTGGGCTCTCCCTCCCGGGCTCCTTGCACCCCCACCGCTACAGGGGCCTGCGCTGGGCTGGGCCTCCCCAGGCCGGAGAGCCCTTGGCCACAGCCACAGCCCTGCTATCGGGGCTGTCCAGGCCTCTGGAGCCTGGCCCCTACCTGGCTGTCACCCCCGGAGCCCCACCCCACAAAGCCCCCTGTGCCCCTGGACGGGAGTTACCCTTGCAAGCAGCTGCTCCTGCTCCTGGGTGGCTGTGGACCTACTCGGGCCCGCGCCAACCCCGGCCAGTTCCTGGTTGGGTGCTTCCTCCTCCCGCGGTTTCAGTTGGCCCAGGCGGGGCGGGCCGAGGGGAAGGGGCGGGCGAGCCCCACCGGCCCCCGGCCCCACGCTGGGCCACGGCAGCCTCCCTCCCTCGGAAACGGAAGGGAGGAGGAGGCTGAGGGGGAATGGCCGAGAGCGGAGGGGAGAGGCCTGTGGGGCAGGCCCTCACTCCCCAGGCCAGCGAGTCCGGGACCCTGCGGACGGGGCCTGAGGTGGGCGGGGTGGGCGCAGGGGTCTGGCTCAGGGCAGCCAACTTGTCTGAAGGCTGTGAAGGCAGGGTCTCAGCGCCCAGAGAGGGACTGGGGAAGCTAGTCCTGGCCCTCCCCACCCGCTGGATTCCCCAAGGAGAGCTCCGGCGCCAGCTCTATTTGAATAAAATTTCCAAGTAAATATCCCGAGGAGAAGCCTGCTTCTCAGGCAACACCCCCACCCGCTCCACCCAGACAGCAGCTTTCCGTCCCCTGGGGAACCTGGGGCTGCCTGCGGCTGCCGAGGAGGGGAAGTGCCCTCTCCCAGGTGGGCCTCAGGCCTGTGCTGGCAGCCCGGCCACCTCAGTCCTGGGACAGGCTGGTAACTGAGGCGCAGGCCACACTCACTCTGTACCCTGCTCAGCTCCTGAAGCCAGAGGGTGGCTCTACCCACATCCCGGGGCTCCTGTGCCGCTGCCGTCCCCCTCACAGGGGCCTTCTGCCTAAGGCCCACCTTCGGGCCAGGACAGTGCCTGCCGGCCCTCC